GCATTTTGCGGACATGGTATTATTTGCAGACGACTCCAATATTTTCTCCTCCCACAATGACCTCAGAAATCTCGAAAGTGTATCAAATGATTGGTTAAAGAAACTATCCGCGTGGCTAGTGACAAACCAGATTGAATTGAATATTTCTAAAACTAATTATATTATTTTCAGGGCAAAAAACACGGCACTTAAGTATGAAATCGATATAAAATTTAATTCAAATAAATTAGAGAAGGTTGAATCCATAAAGTTCTCGGGTGTATGGTTTAACGAAAATTTGTACTGGGCAATTCATGCATCTAAATTATGTTTGACCCTCTCACGTTTAATCGGCATATTACATAAACTAAGACTTTTACTACCAACATGGCTTAAGCACCAAATTTACAGTGCACATGTGCACTCTCACCTACATTACAGTTCATTGGTTTGGGGAACGACATCAAAACGCAACCTTGAAAAACTTTTAGTACTCCAATAAAAAACAATTCGGTCAATTGCATGCTTGTGTAATAATGATCACACGTACATTTATTTTAAGAAGAATAATTTATTCACTATCCGACAGCTACTATTTTTCAACATCGCGAAAGTAATGTTCAATTCTCTTAAAACCAACACGGAATCCTTTGTTACTCAATTTCCGTTAAGAGACACCCAATACAACTTGAGACGTGTGGAATATGATAGAGGCCAAATATGTACTAGTTATGAAGAACAAACATTGAAGCAGCAATTAACACAACTTTTAAATATGCATCCACAAATTCTTGATATAGCAACTAAATCAAGGTCTGCAAATACATTTAAAAAAAAGAATAAAGGATTATATTTTCAAGCATGTATAAAGTCTTGTGAAAAAATTCTGCCAGACATTTCATCGCGTTAGAAATGTTCATATTGTTATTTTTGTTATGTTCTTGTGTTTTATTTGTATATATGCTGTGTGTTCGTTGTAAGACCTGCGCCGCTCTGAAACCTGTATGGGGTACGGGACCTGAGTCAGGTGTTAGAAAACACCTTTCGTCCCTGCCACCCCAAAACAAAATGGCAAATAAATACAAATACAGCCTAAGTAGGGCATGCCCCATACTTTGACGCACTGAAGCCCACAGCTGCGCTAACTTTGCACCCATTTAGCCGAAGTGGGACCCACGGCAGTATCACACGGGCAGCCCGAATCGGCCGTACCTTCGCGTAGCCGAGGTGGTAACCACGAGGATACTGCATGGGTGACTTTATGCATGGACAGCCCAAATTGGGCATGCCCACCCTATGCCCAACTTTGCCCTCGCATGTTCAAGGTGTGGCCCACCGCAGCACTGCGTGGGCAGCGCATATTTGGCATGCGAACGCTGTGCCCACGTGGGATAAACGTGAGTTGCGTGGGTGCTGCCCGAGTCCCCATTGCTAACGTGAGCCGCACATGTTCCCCACTTCTTGTGCTACCTGTATTTGTTCTGGCGAATCTATTGGAGGTCCGCGGCTACAGCTTTTGTTCTCTGCGTCGGTCAAACTTCTGGGAGCATCCTTTAAAGGGCAACTCCACTCAAAAGTCGACCCTATCGGAATGACTGATATCGCTTTAGGGGGGCGAAATACGGTCATACCCAAAATATCACGTCAAACCGACGCCGCATTACCGATTAAAACCAATATTAAAAATGTTTTCCCGGCTCGGTTAGCGGCCCGAAAGCGGGTGAGCAACTCTGGCACCGGGTGAGCTAGTGAAGCAACACTGGGCAATGACGTAGGTTTAGTCCTCCGCTCTCGTACGGACGGCGCGGACGCTCCGTCTCCCGTGGCATTCTGCGATTCTGCTGACGGCTAGAGGTGCTTACCACGCTATCCTGTGTTCTCCTATATTTATTAGCGTCCAGGCAGTTCATTTAACTCCAGCATTGCTTTCGCGACAGCGCTGAAGAGAGCGAAGCGGTGCTGCTTGCTCACGCGCGTGTCGTGGAGCCGGAGAGACTCGCCGGACTGGCGTTGGGCAATGTCGAGCATGACTTGTAGTGCTGTGCGTTTCACCAAAAATGCGGTGCGCAACCCGGAGCTGCGGTTCCACAAGTTCCCAAGAGACCGGAAGAGGCACAAGGTGTGGGTCGGTGCCGTTCGCCGGATAGACTTTGAAAGACCGTCGACTCCGAGCTCCAACGCGAAGCTCTGCTCCCAGCACTTTACGTCAGACACTTACTCACGGTATCTGCGGCTGCTGACTGTTGCGTGTTTCTGCACGAAACACGCGTCTTTGAAGAACGATGCGGTGCCGTCACTGTTCCCGTACCGTCCGCCGGCTGCTCCAGCACGAACGGCCGGACGCAGCAGGTCGCGGCTGATCTAACTAGCGTGCCCATAAAAGCACCTTAGCTTAGCAACTTATACCGCTTGTGGATACATATGTCCCTATATCTCCCATCATTCCTTTTTCTCTCGGTCCGCGAGCAAGAAACAGATACAGTCACGCTGCGCCGGCACTGACCGGGTCATATTTATAGCAGTCGGATTCGCTTTTTGGCCCGGCATATTTATAAGTGCGCACTAAAACTTACTACATTTGGTGCATATTAACAAAGTGAAGCGGTAAAAAAGAAAATGTGCAACTTACCTTCTGTTTTGAAACTTTACGTGCGACTGAGCCGAGATTGTCGGTGCGTCGGCTCGAGAGCGCGGGACCAAGACTAGGTCCTGCCGACGACGCGCCACTGGTATCAATGTTGCCAGGCTGCTTCAGCCGGTAGTTTGTAGCGATATCTACAAAACTATACACACTACAGAAAAACAAATTATATCTCGTGATTCAGGGTCGCCGACTACGACTAAATAGATCATAACCCAAAGATTGTAAAAAATCAGTGGAGTTGCCCTTTAAGGTTTTCAAAACTACAAAGTCAGTCCCAGTATGCATTCCAGAATACTCGAGATTTGTAAAGATAGGGCCTTTATAGGAATCACTGAGCAATTAGAATGTCCTAGCCTGGGTTCTGCAGAGGTGGATTCGTTCTCTCAAAACACCTTCTGCAATGCAAATATTGCCACCAAATACCCTAGTGCCTACAGTATCGCGCTAGTTAATTCGCGAATCAGCAGTACTTTTTCGAGGTAACACATTTTTAAGCCTAATTTAGAATTGAGTTATTTAATTAAGATTCGGTATATCCAGATGCTGACAACGCTTGAAACAATCTATCGACTGCCAGACAATATTAAAGGGGCTCTCCAAAAATATTTTAGCTTTTGCCCTTTTTGTGCTAATACATCAATATCGGGTCCGGTTACCCAGAAAACAATAGTAGCCACGAAATATTAGTGAATCTTATCTTATTTCCATCAACAGTGTGTTCAAACGAGTGAGTTGAAGAGGTAATCCGGCGTTTTCTTCATACTCGCCGATTTGCCTGAATATTGGTTAAATACACCAACAAACATTGTTGAAATAGTAACCAAAATATTGGGCCGAAATAAAGTTTTTTGGCGAAGTTATTGAGTTTACAGTTTTGGTTCTCACCGTGTTTTTCAAAGTGAAAGCCTGCACTGGCAAAAATCAAAAAAGGGACGTCAGGGGAAGGCATGGGTTCACCCTTTGGGCTGTAGACTTTGCTCCCAAGTGATTACAAACAGTTTCATGGTGTCAAATGAACGCTTTGGAAGCTCACTCCAGCTCCCGCGCAGCAGCACGAAACAAATGCTCGGCATAGTGCATTTTTAGAGGTCCCACTGGACACGCAAGCCTTCCTACCCCTGACGTCGCGGCATTGATTTGAGTCTTGGTTTTGGCGGCATTTTCATTATTTGATTTCAGAATAACTAATCTGAATTTCACGATGGTAGTAGCATGCCGGAAAAAGTAAAAGCCGGTGATTCCGAAAATATATTTATTTGGGATAGATAAAAAATCTCTGGAGTACCCCTTAAAAACGAGTGCGTTCAAAGAGTGTTCAAAATGACCAGCTGATGGCGTTGTAAGATAATTATTATGAGATGGGCGGCGTTAGTAAGAGCCGTCGGAATGTGTTTTTATGCAGGTGTGATTGAGAATGGGGTCACTTCCGTATACTATAGTTATTCTTTTAATAAATCGTTTTATCGAACACAAAATAGAGTTCAAGAAACGTTTCAGAAGTGGAAAAGAAAACTTTTCAGCCTTTCAACTCTGGTGAAGAAGGAAGACCAGCGGAGCCGTACAATGGAAGTTAATGGCCGGCCGCAAGTCGGCAAGCCTGAGTAGAAAGGCAGCGCCTTCTATGAGGGACGGCGGCAACCAGATACGTGGCTTGCCGCCGTCGTTCATAGATTGCGGTAGGTGTCCAGAGTTCGGTGTCTTCATTTTTTTGCGGGGGACACGATCCTGGGGAAACTAACCCTTAACAACTCCGCTGTAAAACAAAAAAGAAATACTGAGACATTTGCTTTGAGACGGCTCAACCAGCTAACACTTGCGCGACCGCGCCGTCTGATAATCTAAATGCCGGGATCATTTTGGGGCGTTTGTTGGTGACTTATTTTTTCGATTTGAATCGGCTTTATTTCCGGTGTGTCATGTGCTATTCTCACTAGTCAGTTTGATGTTCTCGAAGTTTTTTGTGTTTTGGTTGCACGTTCTCACGCTCGATCGGGCGAGCCCGTGCGTGGACACGGATGGCTCACACAGAAGCTTCGTAGGCCTAACGAGACGGACACGTACGTCCGGGGTGCCGGTAAAAGCTTGAAGCTGAATGACATGCCTAAGAACGAGTTAATGGTAATTTATGACGACCTCACGTATGAGCCGTATGAGATCATGTGCTAGACGTACGCACCGGCAGCCGTTCCCGTTCGAAACAACAGATGCCAATAAGGGTTGATTCGTCCGCCGAAGACGGTTGGCGGATTCGCGCCGAGCGACTTGGATGAGCACGACATTGTGATCTTTTTCCGCCGGCATTTGTGTAGCATTCGGGTGAAAATATTTGCTTATTTTCACTCGTTATTTTCATAATTTACGTTTCTCTTTTGTCCAGCCTACAACGATGAAACTATCCCCTGCCTGAATCGCTGCTTTGATCGCACCGATCGCATTGGTAAGTACATATCAGCAGAAATAGAAATTAGGGGGAACTGAGTGTGCTGGACCGAGCTGGACTCTAAACAAGCTTGACTGAGCTTTTCTCAGCATGGTGGGGCGTGACGTGGAGGACAACGAATGTCGGTCGGCGTCACCGCGATCGTGTATGGAGCCTGAATTTAATACGATGGAAGAAGCTTTGGTTACGATGCGTACGCGTCATCTATGCTGCAGCCGTGAGCCTAACCCGCAGCCAAACGGCCAGCCGTTGCACTCCAACCCTTCAATCAATTAATCGTCCGTATTGTGTCACAGAGTGAACATGTTTTGTAATTTTAACTTGATTGTGACTCTCAGAATATCTCGAATTTCCGGAAGAAACGTTTTCTTTCCGTGCGACTACGTCCAGTGAGCTTCGTTTCGGTAAAAATATCAGACCAGTTCAAAAATCATTAGAGGTTTCCTATAATATAAGAAATTCCAAAGTGCGGCAGTGCAACTTAAAACCAATCGATAACCAGCAATGCCCGGAATATCGCATGGCGAAGTTGGCATTTAACACGCCTGAAGCTTTCTACCATCCAAAATGTTATTGTGAATGCAGAAATACCGCTTGAGAAACCGAATCAAGTTGAGGAATGGGTTGTCGTGGAGCTCACCGTTTTCACCTGTTGAAGACTGCTGTGGGTAGTTGCGCTTTGCACATGTTTTTATGAGGGGATGAGTTGAGCTCAGTACACGTACCAGAGCGTGTTGGATAAACTATAGTGCAAACGTAAATAATTTTAGTCTTTTAATCTTTCTGTGTGAACTAGAATTGACTAGTTTTGTATTTATTTCGAATGGGACCTTGCCATATCCAGCTGGTTCTACCCTAAAAGCTTTTTATGGCTTGCGAGCAGAACATATTATGGGAACAACTGAATGGCGAATGCAACGAGGCCGACTGAAGAAAATTATTGCACAATAGCCTTAGTTCTCCCCAAGTTTCACAGTATTTGCAATTCAAAAAAGTTGTTTGAGCTCCTTCGCCAATGGGGATGCTTGTTATAGGATGCACCCCTTTCCAGGTTTGTTATTTTGACATTGGACTCTTATTTATTGTAATGATATGTGGCTTTGATGTTTTTCAATATCATTGTTTTTTGGGCACTACATCGATGTTCGGTGATTTGTCTCTGCTGTTTTTACACCTTGCATGTTGCGGGAAGCTGTGGGGGGCTATTTTGCAGGTGCTATTTAAATGCACGGCATGGAGCCCATTCATTTTTATCCTTCCTTCATGGCTAAACGTAAGGCAATGCTCAAAAGAGAAGCTCATTTTATGCACTTCCCGAATGCCGTGCAAATATCACTTTGCAGGAACACAGTCACAAGACCCATCTCCGTCCCCTTGCTATGACAGTATTATGGCAGTAGGGGACATTTTTTGCACAATCACTGGACAACACGTAAGTATTGGAGGCCATAAAATCAGCTAAACTAGACCAACAGTATAATCGCATGAGTTGTGCTCCGAAACTCATTCTTTCTAGTGAAGAAGTTCGCTTATATATAGATCATTTTTAGATGTGCGGCCGTCTAGTAGCTGCGGCGCCAGATACCCGAGTTGGCTATTGTTTGCACTCGCTCCCTGAGCACGCATTGGGCACGAGGGTGGCGTCAGCGTTCGGCAAGCACTTGGATCCAATCACACACTTCGAGTTCAAGCAATGGCGGCCACCCTCGGTGGACATTTGAAAAGGGTTTTTTGGGGTTTCTGCAAATATTGCTTCGAATAAGATATCATTGGGAGATATCCCACTTTAAAAGTGTCAAGAAAGCTTGGATTTCGTGGCTTGCTTTTGTACTTTGTGGGTAATGCGGCATTATTTGATTCGAACACTATGCTCATCTTTCTACTCCGGAATGTTTTTTTTTATCATTACTAGAGTTACTTTTTTGTCTCAATGAACGACACCCTAAAGGTGTATTACAACACGCACCTCGGGACCACATGCAAGATCTACGAGAACATTCTTAGGCTGCGAAAGCCAACCTAGAATGTTCGTAAGTTACGCATATTATAAGAAGTTCTCAATTTAGTTTTTATGATCGTATTTATAAGTGAGAGGAGGAAAGAGTCGTTTTCTTACGGGAAAATGACAGCTTCCGGTGTCCCGCCAGTTTCCAAACACCACGAGAACGGTCTATTAATTTGGTGACAGCGTCACGGACAACACGAAGGGTCAGCCCGTGTATTCGGTATGCTTCGGAGAAGGCAGTGGTCCTTCCGGCAAACGCTTCTTGGATGATCATGTCCATGTTCTGAGATATCAGGGATGCCGTGATTTAAGAAGGACCGAATGCCCAGCTTTACGGAGTTCACGATAAGTGCCTTGGTCTATGACAAGCCCCCTAAAACAGACGCTGAAACATTTCCGCTCTTAAAAAAAAAATAATGGCTTTTTATTTTAAAGTTTCTAACGTTCTTTCCTAAAACATTTTCGGCCAAATATTTTTAGTGGTGCGATCGTCATTTTGTCTTTTAAAATGGACGTAAAACTTTGTTTTACGTCCATTTTAACAAAAATTCAATAATTTTGTAAAGTTAAGGTTTGTTTGCGATAAGGTTTACAATTTATTCGTTGACATTTCAACAGCTTTAACGTGCTATGTTGTCGGGGTTATGTAATTTCTATTGTTAAAATAGTTGAAAAATTCAACAACATAAAAATAGCAGTTTTTACTTTTTTTTTTCATTATCGCTTTGCGCCTGTCAATTATACCATTTTCTACTTGAAGCCCGGCAGATGTATTAAAATAAATAAAAATGGTTGAAGTCGCAACTCGGAAATACTTAACACAAATTAAAAAATTCTCAAATTAAAAAAAAAACAAAAACAGTTTCGCTGCCTAAGCAGCCGCTTATTCTACCCTGAGGTGGTTCGAGTAAAAGTGCGAAAAATAACGAATTTAGAATAAGAGACTACTCCGTTTCATTTCAGAAAGTTTAATCACAATGATCTTTGTTCTTTAAGTAAGAAAAATATTATTGTGCTTTAGCTCCCGTTTCGCAACCTTGTATTTTTTTTGCGCCTTTTGATCCCACAACGCGCCACCTGACACGGGAGCTGAGAAGCTTGGCGCACACGCAGGGCAATGGCTGGTCGGTGTTTTGTTTTTGCAGAGGCTTCTACGCGTGCGCATTTCTGACTCGCATTCACCTTGCATATACAGTGGCTCTTTACGGCTAAAGACGCGCCGCGGCTTGCCAAGACTCCTTCTAATCGTCCTTCTTCACGGTTGCAACGCGAGCAAACAGCGGATATGGTGGGAAAATCGTGCTTGCCGCCACCGCATAGCTAGCTCGTTGCGCCCATGATACCGATGTCAGATCCTAATAAAGAAACGCGACAACGATAGAGCAAGGTTCGTACTGGCGTTTCGAAAGGAAAGGACCGACTGCAAGAAAAGACAGAAAAACGACAGGTATTGTCTCGAACGACCACTGACGAGTTGCAAACGGAAATTTTTCCAATAAAGTTTTTTTTCTTTTGTTTTTGTGCTGTACGGTGGACGAAGCGAGTCACTTGGCACAATCACCTCATTTTGCGGTTTGTGCGGATGCTGATGAGTATAGTGGCCGGATCTTTAGGCAAATGCCTAATTTGTTCCACTGGTTCCTATCGTGCCTTTTCTATCCATGAACACGGTTCTGTACATGAACACGAATCATAAGTTAAGAAGCGTTTCAGGAGTGGTTTTAGAGTGGCTATAAATGCCTCTTTCAGCATATGAGCCTAAATTACCGTTTCCTACCTATAATTGTCTTTGTTCTTACTTTTTTTTTTGCTTAGCTACCTTAAAATAACTTGTTCTGTTTAGTTTCAAATTTAAGCGAACTGTTTTTTGTTTTTTTTTATCTTGCTGTGACGCATGGCAACACGCTGGTCCAATTTTTGTCCTGAAATCCACCACAAACATCGTTGTTTTTTTCTTCACGCCTGTAACCAGGGAGCAAACGGCGCCTGCCTTTTAGTAGAAGGCCCTCCTCGCAATTTCCCACGCCTCGTCCTTCTTTCGATTTCTTGTCGCGCCTTTGTTTTCTCCCCCTCTCGTCTCGCCCGAGAGAAGCGGGTTTGTTGTCTCTGGACAGTGTGGAGCCCGGGAGCTGCCTGGAGGCTGGAAGTCTGGATCTGGATGCTGCTGTACTCCGTTTCACCCTAAATGGACCTTAGTGGATGCTATGGCTCAAGCCATGTCTATGCTTTTTGTTTTTCGTCATGTTTTAATGAAATGAAATAATAAAAAAGTGTACGTTCCACGTGTTGAGAAGGCATTATAAACGGCTCACACTCGAGACCTACAACGTTTTGCTCAAGTGCAAATATGCAGAGTTTCTGGCATTATTTAATCATAGAGTAATGTACGAACATCAACATTTTTCAGTTGTCAGTTTTTAGAACCATGTTCTTGCGATATAACCTTCGCTTCTAATGGGCTCTAAAATCCTTTAAAAAAACGGATTGTTTCGTTTTAAGTATTACACCTCTAGAGTATGTCGACTTTGTTGGCTCTAGATGGAGGTAGCTTAAGAACAATAAAAGGCCCGGTTAAAACATTTGAGCATAATTGACTTTGTTACCCTAGCTTTCGCTTCCGTCTTCTATCTTCTTTTCTTATACTCAAGAAAGTCTCATTCAGACAGCTAATATTTATTCAATATTCAACATGGATGTCAGCTTACACTTCACCAAAGAACTAAACATCTCGCCTTTTTTTCTGCCGTTCGTGACAACCTTTGGGCATCATGTGTAAGTTTTGAAAATACAGAAAAACGGTTTATGTATTGTATATATCTCGGTTTTATTTACAAAAAGAAAGTTTATCATGTGAATTTTATTGTGATCTGGCTATTTTAGTTTGAAAATATATAACACTCTTGATTGCAGTTCGGTATTTTTTCCAGGGTCTTATGAATTTTTTTTGGCCTTGCCTTGTGGTCATGTGCACGGACGCCTACTTAAACCTCAGCATACCATTCAACGTTACGGGAGACGACATAGTTGTAAGTAACTTACCAATAATCTTGTTTCATGCACGCGGTTGGTGGCCACGAATGGTCAGCTTTCTTGTCAAAGCATAAAACAAAGTTTAGCATATGCTTAATATCACCGAGTGCACGACATTACAGATGGCGTTCTGTTGCAAAAGAGGGCTTTCTTTCTTGTTTGCAAAAAAGCGCAATCCTCGCAACATGAATAATTCGATCTCAACCCCTACGACATGTAGGCCACTCAGGTCTATCGGGCAAGATGTATTTTTTTTCTTGTATGTACTGGAAATCATGTAGGAATTTTCGAGCTGTTTTTATACTTCCAAGGTACACCTAGTGTAAAGGAAGACAGTTTTTAAATGCGACAGCTGTGTGAATTCACTGACCGATTTTATTCCGAAAACCATCAGTCCTGTTCTTATAGCATGCACAGCTCCACAATATGTTTTGGTCTTGCATCAGATGGCCTCCATAGAAATTGGAAAAATTAACAATTTTTGCGGTATACGAAAGCGGGAAGTCGAGTTGCATTTTTGCGATTTTCCATACACTGTAAGAAATGCCTGCGCGTCTACTTACCCGCCAAACACTCGCAGAGCCATCTCTGGGATCTTCGAAATTAGCTCAGTGAATAATGAGGCAGAACATGCGTTTAGAACTTAAAATGAAGTCTGCTCTGTGGCATTACACAATGCAAAGCGTCATGCTTGCTTTGCTTAATGCAACAGCACAGGCTTAATTTTAAGTCTAAACGGATGTTCTGCCACATCATTCGCCGAGTTGATTTTGTAGACCGCAGAGATTGGCTCTGCGGTCGACTTTGCGGGTATGTACTGCGCCTGCATTTCTTAGAGCAGTGGTTCTCAAATGGGGTTCCGCGAAGGCATTCTAGGGGTCCCCGAAACCCTGCCTATTCAGCAAAGCGCTGCAATAAAAGTTGTCTTTTTTGGATTGAGAAGAAATCTTCAATTTTTCGGGTGAGATTTACGTGTGCATGTCAATACGAAGCCTACTTCAGCACACCTCTTACTTATATCCACTCATTTAATCATTATCAAAATTAGCCTATACCTCTCTCTTCCCCTCACCCCGAAGGGGATCCTTCATCATCTCTGCCTATCCACAAGGGGTCCGCGAAACACCAATGGTTGAGAACCACTGTCTTAGAGTGTAGTAATTTATCGATACTTTTTTAAGTTTCTTAGTTCATTTTTTTTTTGTAAATTTTAGAACATTTCAAGTGGAGTTTATATGCCTTCTATTCTTGAAGCTCAATATTTTATTTTGTATTCTTGAAGTCGTGGGAATTTTTCCTCTACATTGTGTCTTTCAGTGCTTGAAGGCCGATTCCAGCCCTGTTCGGCCACTGCTTGTGTGCTTTTACACATCTCTTAAACATTTAGTTGTATTAGGATTGGCTGTACCTTCGTATTATTCGAAACTAAAATACCCCAATACATATGAATATTGTAAATATAGGTAGTATTCCCCAGCAGCACAAACGTACGGGCCGGCTCTGCGGTGGCCTCGGCGTTTTCCGACATTTTCAGGCGCAGCCGAAACTGGGCCGGAGCCGTTTTGCAACATTTTATTCATTTATTTTATTTATTTTTACATACTGCAGCCCCGTTGGGGCTATTGCAGGAGCGGGGAGAAAAATCACAGTGCACAGAATTCAATATTAAATAAGACAGAAAAATCAAAACATCGTAACACAGGATTACCCGTTGTCAACCGCACACAGAAAGTTATCTGGAGGTAATGAACGGATGTTACCGGGTAGCAGATTCCAATGTTCAATTGATCTATGGAAAAAAACTGTAATTGAACATGTCAGTTCGTGCATAAAATGGTGAAATGTTTAGATCATCGTGGCTCCTTGTTGATGGACAAGGAGCCAATGGCTCCGTGCCCATCAGAACATCAATGGGCTACGGGCCGTGTGCGGAGTTTTGCGGCTGTGCCGCAAAACGCAGTAGCTTGGCCGGAGCCTTCCCAATAGCACAACCGTGCAGGCCGGCTTTGGGACGGCCTCGCCCTTTTTCGGCATTTTCAGGGGCAGTTGGCACCGGGCCGGAGCCGTTTTGCAACACCGAAGGGTTACGGGCCGCGCTGCGCTGTCCGCACGTTTCGCTACAAGGGCCCGTTACGAAAACCAAAGAAGGGAGACCGATATCGGGCTCTCTCTCTGGTTTCCGTAGCGGGTTATTGTACCGAAACATGCCGGCGTGCGGTATTTTCGCTGACCTGCATCCCTCTGTGGTAGGATCTAAAAAAGGATATTACGCGCAGCAACTTTGAATAAACATTTTGTTTATTAGTGACTAGCTTATCACATGAAGAGTCGTACCAAAAATAACTAATTTAGTGTCCCTTCTTGAGGCTCAACATGTCTTAACATATCCAGTTACGTAATTTCCAGGCTACAGCATAGTTCTTTCTTTTTAAATTCCTTCGGTCTGTGTGTCAGTTCCACGAAGTGCTCTGTTTTCCACTGTTGCTCTCATCACCTTTCGTCGTTTCTCCCGGCCGCATTCTCTGTCGGTTGCTCCTGACAAAAAAATTCCAATACCTTGTGCGATCCGTGTGCCGCCAGAGGAAGGAAAGCGTTTAAGCAGTGCATCTGAAACACAATGATACAGCGTGTACATTGCAGTTGTGATATACCAAGTCATTATGAGCATACAGTCTCTAGCCACATAACAGTCCCATTCGATAAGGTAGTTTCACGTGGCGGTGTTGGAGAATGAACCTTTGTTGCAATCTCCCTCAAATTCAAGAGCATATGGCCATTGTGGGCCCAGCGCCGCTGAAGAAACTGCCTAGTCGGAAGTTCTTTTTTTCATATCGTGTTAGGCTGTGCCTTACAGCTGTACATATATATAACAACAGGATTATTCCTATATGTTGCTACTATAGTGAACACTGCTTGATTAATGAGTCTGCGCGAAATAAATAAAAAAAGCGGAGGACCTGGACACAACCTTACCATTATCCACAAACTACTCTGCTGTCTCAGTGAAAGAAAATGTTGTTTTTTCTGCTTGTTGTTCTTATGTTTTCGTGCAAATAATTATTAATATAATCAGAATAACTTCACGTCAAGCACAATGAATGAACTTCGGAGTAGGACTGGTTTGGTTACCATAATGATGGATGACGATGAGAACACGCACGTTTGATGCGCTTCTTTAATGCACTGAATGGAAATGCAGCCTTCCACTAAGAAAAACTATCTGAACTTTACCGAAACACCATCATGATTTGAGCCGTCCTCATGTCAATCAAGTTTGTAATTATTTTGATATATGAGAGAAAACAGGTTTTACCCCGCATGCATCCATAGAGTGCCAGGGATTCAAAGCACTTTTTGGTGCTCGTGCCTTTGAAAGTGTACAGTAACATCACCTCATTTGAGAGGAGTCGTTTTGTCATTATGACTACAGAATCTTTGAACATCTCGCCTCCAAGACGTTCAAGGTAGGAGACCTGCAAGTTGAACCAGAACTGATAACAAAAAAAATCCCGGGACAAAGTATTCTACGAACGCGATCCATCTCATAAGACAGTTCGTGGTCCATGCATGGACTACAGGAAACAATTTCAAAGTTCCGGCCGCAACAACGAAGGCGAAATTCAGAGCGCACGCAAGCTATTTGAGTCATTCTTCCGCGGGGATGCGTCAGGGTGCATCAAGAACCGTGGCCTCCTCCTGGAAGTATACATGGACATTCCCGATAGGTAGGGCTGCGTTGACCGAAACTTTCTTATTTTTCTGTATGCACTGATGATGCCTTCCGGTATGGGAAGCGAAACATTCATTGAGGTTGTTATTTCTGTTAGGTTGAATTGATGTCCTTATTTTAATGAAAGCACATTAATGTGAAGAGAAACAAGCGATAGGCAAAAGAACCACGCTAAATAAAGAAATTGAGGTATTGTTTGCGTAAATGTGTTTCAGCAGGATAAGAATGGATATGTATAGTATGCGAGAGTCCACCCATTGGGAATGATTATCTATCCTTGACACAACGGAGGAAGTATGTATTGCAAATATTTTCTTGGAAATTTTATCGAAAGCTGGCAGAGAAAATGCCTTACCATTTCCTTCAGAAATTCAGGGCGCCCAAGTTTAGGCTCCAGTGCAGCCACATCTTCTGATGTCAGTGGGAAAACAGGCAGTTGAGTATCTTCCAAAAACTGAGACAGAAACTCTTCCACACCAACTGGCTCCCCACTGCCACAATAAGTGTTGACAGGAAACGGGGCCCTGTCTAGTATATTTGCACAGGAGCATGTGATTGGCCAGAGTGCTTTGCTTCAACTTCTGTGAAGCGGAATTCCATCAATGTTTATATCAGTGTGTCGAACCGAAAAAAATACGGGTTCGGTTACGCTTCAGGTTCAGGTAAATTAATTTTGTTCCGGTTCAGTTCCGGTTCGATTAATTCGATCCGCGAACCGGTTCGCGAACCGGTTCGGGGCGCTGAACCGGTTCGCGAACCGGTTCGGAAATTATAAATGACAAATTGCAACATCAAAATAAATTACAAATAAAACATCTGAAATCAGCACATACGAAACAGGATACATCGTAGTGTAAGACTCAGGGATTTCTACCAGGAATGGTTTCTTTATGTGCACTCAAAGGTTACCTCACCGACGTTTACGCATTCGGACTTCATCTAATTGGGTCCGACGCAGTAGCTGTATAATCCGCGACCTCCTTAAAAACTCACTTACAAGTAGAACTCACTAACTATCCCGACACCTCGGCGTGTAAGCAATTGAAGGAACAGTGGGGAGAAAATACAGCTTTCTTTATTTGAACCAGCCTTCGGTAACTCAAATTAGACCCTTAAAGAAGTTTTCATTAAACAAGATACGGAATAAGAAAAACACTTCACCGAACGCAACGCCAGAAGGAATGTAATAGGACAAATATTAAAATAGAAGAGTTCGCTGTCTCACAAATATGTTAGCTTCTAAGTGCCTTTACGAAACCGGATGCA